AAAAAAAAAAAAAAAAAAAAATTGAGGTGTAGTCTCACTCTGTTGCCCAGGCTGGAGCGCAGTGGTACACTCACAGCTACCCTAGGGTCAACCTGCTGGGCTCCAGTGATCCTTTCACCTTAGGCTTTCAAGTAGCCGGAACTACAGGCGCATGCTATCGTGGCCGGCTACTTTTTTATTTATTGTAGAGACGAGGTCTTACCAGGTTCCCCAGGCTGGTCTTGAACTTGCAGATTCAGGCATTCCACTCGCTTCGGCCTCCCAAAGTGCTGGGATTACAGGCTGAGCCATCAATAAATCTATATTTAACGAGAGGATTGGCTCAAAAACCTTTCCTGAAAGGAGGGCCTGATTAAAAGTGTGGATACTGCCGGGGTAGGACATTGTGTGTGACGGAGGATTCTGACCTAAATGTACACCAGCAGATGCATGGAGAAACAAACTGTGGTAAGTCCGTGTGAGGGGCTTATTACCCAGCTGCAAAAGGCATGGAGTCTTGATACAGGTTGCAATGTGCATGAACTGTGAAAGCAAGTGAAAGGAACAGCCAAGGAGAGAAGCCAGCTACATCAGGTCACGTGTGGTTTCTTTATGTGCTATTATAGGCAATAGAGACAGAAAGTAAACTAGAGGTTTACCAGAGATGTGGGAGGGGTGGATATGAGGTGTTTTTCTGGGGTGATGCAAAGTTTTGAAACTAGAGAGTTGGCTGGGTGCGGTGGCTCAAGTCCCAGCACTTTGGGAGGCCGAGGCAAGAGGAATGCCTGAGCCCAGGAGTTCAAGACCTGCCTGGGCAACTCAGTGAGACCTCGTCTCTACAATAAATCAAAAAATTAGCCAGGTATGGTAGCGCACGCCTGTAATTCCAGCTACTTGGGAAGGCTGAGGCAGAAGATTGCCTGAGCCCAGCAGGTTGAGGCTGCGATGGCCGTGAGCATGCCACGGCACACCAGCGTGGGCGACAGAGTGAGACTCTTACTCAAAAAAAAAAAGAATCTAGAGAGTTGCACAGTATGGTGAACACACTAAATTCCACTGAATTGTACACTTTAACATGCTTTAATATGGTTGTTTGTCATGTACATTTGGCTTTTAAGAAAGGAAGGGATTCTGAGGCTATGTCCTGGTTCAGCTATGGGCACAGAAGTGGGCAGTGGTGGCAGTGAGCCCCACATCTGCCAGTACTGATCTGGGAATGCCACCTAACCACAATCCCTCAGATCTGCGAAGGCACCCAGACCCACAGGTCTGCCCGTCACAGGCTCTGCAGCCTCACGACCACCCCTTGAAGCTGGGAGGGCTACTAATACAACCCCCAGTTGACAAAGTAGGAAAACTGAGGTTCCAAAAGAGAAGGTGACACTACTGTCAGCAGTAGAGGCTGCACAAGAGGCCGGGCCTCCAGGTTCCCAGCCCTGTGCTCTTTCCCTCCTGACCATGCTGCCCTCCAGCCGTGGGAGGTAGGCGCTGAAGAGGGGCAACATTTACTTCCAGAGACCTGTGGATCAGGCAGAGGGACCAGCAGGGAGGAAGTCCTGGAGGCCTGGGGGTGGAGTCCAAGTTCCAAGTGCTCAGAGGCACAGAGGAAGGCTCAGAGGCATGCCAGGAAGTTAGACTTCAAAGCAATTGTCAAAGTGAGTCCAGAGCTACTGACACCAACTAGACAAGGACGACTCTGGACACTGGAACTTGAACGCAGGTTCTGACAGCCACTCCCTAGGCTATGCCCTGCACAACTCCAGAGCCTGCCATTCACACAGCTCCTCGGACCCATGCACTGTGATACGTCCAAGGCTCCCACCAGAAAACTGCTAGGCCAGGAATCAGAGGCCCAGCCCAGAATGTTACCAGATGCCTCCAAACCCACAGGACAGAACAACCTCCTGATTAGAGAGATATTTTAGACACAGAGCAGTCATACAGAACTGCTGGGTTCAAATCTGGCCTGTAGTTTATGCTGGGTGGCCGCAGGCAGGTAACAACCTCTCTGAGGCTCAGATCGGTCCTCTGTAAAAATCAACCTCCTCTCCGGGGCTGGTGGGAGACTTACAGACTAGAGCAGGCCTCTAGGAGTGGAGGGAGGGCTCATTTCCTCCCTCGAGGCCCCAGGAAAGAAGGAATGTCACCAGCAAGAGTCCTCTTGAGCGACACTTCCTAATAGACACATGCTCCCTGGGGGCCGATGAGACTCCACTGCCACCAGTGTGGACCCCCTTCCAAAAACAGAACAGTATCAGGCTCCCCAGGGGTGGAGAGAAGGTGGAAGGGAACGAGGCAGGCAGAAGTCTGGGCCCTGGGGACAGCAGAGGAGGAGCCACTGAGACTTGGGAGGGAGGCAGTGTCCTAGGAGAGGCCAGGAGGAAAGTGCTAGAGAAAATGTGTCCTTAAGAAGGTGCGGAGCCACAACAAAACACCCTTGGAGGGACAAGGGACTGGGTGGGGACCGATGGTGCCAACAGACAGCCACTGGGTCAGGCGTTCATCACAGGTCAGAGGCACCGCACCACAAGGGCATCTGATGGTAATTGGGTCCAGGAGACCCCACTGTGGGAGCTGACAGTGGAGGCAGGTAGGTGTCTGTGCAGATGATCTGGACTCAGTGAATCCCGGCTTGACCACCTGACTAGCGGGGTGATCTTGGGCAACTGATGTAACCTTTTGAGCCTCACTTCCTGCATCTGTTAAGTGGGGGCAACACAGCACTAAAAGCCTTGACGCCCTGTGAGGCGTGAAGGAGGTCATGCACGCAGGGAACATCATGTGGCCTGGCGTGAGCATCCAAGAAAGCTGGGCTGACACTAGACAGGTGGGAGAGATAACTAAGGCGGTGAGAGTCCCTGGGCAACGCTGGGAGAGAAGCAGCGGAGGTCAGGGAAGGGAGCCCTGAAGCAGGAGCTAGCCCTGCAAAGATCTGGAGGAACAGAAAGTGCAAAGGCTGGAGGCATGAAGAGGTCTTGCAATGGTTGGGTGGGAAGGAGTGTCGCTGGAGCAGTGATCAGGGAACCTGACTGGGGAGGCACATGGGACAGGGAGGGGATGAGGCTTGAAGTGCAAAGTCCTGGGGGGAGTGGGGCCACAAGGTCTGGCTCTGTGGATCACAGCCCCTTCTCCCTGGTCCTGCCCCCTCCAAGCCATCCCCACTCCACAGCATGAGGCTCATCCCAGTGGTTCTCCGTGGCTGTCTGGATATGCCGTGAGCTGAGGTCAAGGCCCTCCTGGGCCAGCCTGCCACCTCTCCTGGGGCCTCACTCCTCTCCACTTCCTACCTACCGCCTACTTCCCGCCTCCTCCTGCCCCAGGCCCTTTCGACATCTTCCTCCCTGGAGATTGTTCCTGCCCCACGTACTGAGCTGCAGCTAACTTTGCTGCTTCTGGCTGGTGGCGTGGTGAGAGGCCTGGTGGCCTCTGCTCGGTGTATGCTATCCAGGCAGCTGACTGCCTGCACCAGACTGTCTGGCACCTCGGGCCAGGGAGCCCTCCTCAGATGCTCCTTCTTCACTCAGTATTTTCTGAGCACCAGGTATGTGCCAGCCATGAGCTAGGGGCTGAGAACAAGATGGGCAAGGTCCCTGTTCTCACTGAGGGAGTCAAACATGCACCTGTCCTGACGAGCACACAAAGACACACGAAGTGGTGCAAGAGGAGACAGACACAGTGACTACTAGGGAGGCCTCTGACGAGGTGCCCTTTGAGCAGAAGCCCTACTGCAGTGAGCGCTCCAAGTCACATAGATATGAGATGGTGTTCCAGAGAGGAGTAACCACAAGTGCAAAGGCCCCGGGGTGCAAATAAGGCTGGTGTGTACAGGAACAGCACAGAGGAGCAGCACAGTGAGTAAGGGAGAGACACCTGTGAGGGGAGGCAGGTAGGCAGGGGCTGGTTCCCCAGGCCTTGAGGGCCAGGGGAGTTCCAGAGTCACTATGGGCTTCAGAGCAGTCAAGTGTCTTGATCTGACTTAGGTGTGGGAAGAATCACTCTGGTCACTGTAGCAGCAAAGGTGGAGGCAGGAAGCCCAGCCAGGAACCACTGTGGTGCCTAGGGGACAGGCGAGGGCTGGGGCTGAAATGGGCGGTGGAGACAGGAGAAGCGGTGGGGGCTGAGTGCATTTTGGAGGCAGAACCACCAGACTGCAGACAGATCTACGGTGGGGAGAGAGAGCACGAAGAGCAGGCAGGGAGGGAGCTGGGGGGTTGGGCTCAATGATCATGGGGAGCAGAGCCAGGTCCCCGAAGGCATCACGTCCCCTGCAGGCCTGTAAGTCTCAGATGGAGAAACTGAGGCCCAGGGAAGGGAAGGAACGCCACCAAGGACACACGGCCAGGCCCCTGAGGTCTCCCAAACCCCCTGCCGGGCTCTCTCAGCTCCCCTCTACACCAAGCATTTAACTTCTCCCTTTAGCGGCTGTCTCCCCAACCCAAGTGGGAGCCCTCACAGGACACGGGCCTGGAGTTTTAGTTGCTCAGTGTGGCAGGTGAAGAGGGAAGGAACTCACTCAGTGCCTGCTGTGTGCAGTGAGGTACATGCTCTCAGCCCCACGAGTTCAATATTCCCGCTCCCACTTGAGAGATGCACCCGGAACCTGCCCAGGTCACACAGACTAGGGGTGGAGCTGAGACCCAAACCTGAGTCTCTCTGAATCCAAGGCTGGTGCCCTCTGCCAGGCAGCCTCCCCGGGTGACTTGTTAAGGCCAGATCCGCAGGGACAGCAAGGAATGCAGCAGGGTAGCTGCAAGGAGCCACTGGAGAACCGGATATTAAACCAGAATGAAATTCTACACTGGCCACAGAACCGAGACGTCGGGGGGAAATTCATTCAACACGCAGATCCACCATGGGGAAGAGAGACAGGCCTGTGGACACAGAGTCAGAAGCTGGAAAACAGGAGAGGACAGAGGGTGACGGCCAGGGAGGACCCAAGGAGGCCGATGGTCACTGCCAGGCACAGCAAAAACAAGCTCCCTTGAGCTAAAGGGAGGGCTAAAAACAAACACCAAGGTAAACCGGCCAAGCCGCTTTGGGTTTCTTCCGCCCTCTTTAGAATCCAATCTTGGGTCTTTTTTAAAAACGGTTTCCAGATGGTGCTTGGTGCAGATCTATGTCAAACTCAGAAAAACAAACCAGAAAGAATCTCAGAATCTCGGATTTCATGATCTTGGGCTACTGGATTAAGGCACACAGAAACAGAGATCCTAGAAGCTCCCGGCCCTCTGTAACCCACCCCGGTCTGTCTGTCCCCTCCCCCTGTTCGATTCCACCACCCCAGCGGGCTCAGGTTGGCAAGGACTCAGGTTGCCCCATAATTCTGCGCCTGCTGTCCCCACCTTCCTCATCTTCAAACAGGAACAAACTGCTTCTCGCCCTCCGAACCCTGCTGGGATGTGAGGCTCCCAGACACCCTCGGGGATACCCACTTCCCAGTCGCTCTCCCCCACCCCAACCCTCTCTCCTGGTCGGAACTTGGTTACAGGTCTGTCTTCACCCTGAGCCAGCCCACAGCCTCCTTGGGACCTGGCACAATGGGAAACGCACCTGACAAACATCATCGCATGTAATCCTCACAAGAATCTTTGAGGAAAAAATAAACTGAATAACCTCTCCACAAAACAGTCTCACTTAGACCATTTCACAGAGGGCAGCTGAGGCTCACAAAGGCCGTCCCTGGCCGGCCGGCAGCAGCGAAGCAGGCACCTGCCTCCCACCAGACCTGACCCTCCGGCCCCTGTAGAACCTCTAGTCCAGCTGCCTCCCGTGAAGGACAGAAGCCCAGAATCCCAAACTCCAAGATCAGCATGAGACCAAGGAGGGCCACCTGCTGGTCCCGCAGCACAGGAGGGGGTCGGGTACACTCTGCTTGAGGGACCAGATGGCGTCTCCACTCCACACACAGTGCCTGGGACCCACTGCAAGGTGTTGGGTACCTGAGGCTCCAGGGAGAGATGCACTGGCCCTTGCAGGAGTGGCTGAGTTCACTGCTGTGACACCAGGGACCTCCCAGAGGCCTGACCTTAAATGTCTTTTTTTTTTTTTTTGAGTTGGAGTTTTACTCCATCGCCCAGACAGGAGTTCAGTGGCCGCTTCTGGCCACTGCAGCCTCGACCCACTGGGCTCCAGCGATCCTTCCACCTCAGCCTTCCAAGTAGCCAGAATTACAGGCATGTGCTACCATGCCCAGCTAATTTTTTTGATATATTGTAGAGATGAGGTCTCGCCAAGTTGCCCAGGCGGGTCTTGAACCCACGGGCTCAGGCAATCCACTCACCTCAGCCTCCCAAAGGCACGGGATTACAGGCTGAGCCACCAAGCCCGGCATCTTAAATGTCATTAAACAGATGCTGTGATCTCCCTAGATAAGCTGCAGAGAGACGGCAGCCAGGGTCCACAGCACTCTCTCCTCCAGCTCTAAGCAGCACTGTCTACCCCGTCCTGTGCTGTAACATCTATCCCCGAGCTGGGAAGCTGAGAGGAGCCCTGGTCCCTGCTCAGTGCTGCAGATGGCCAGTCGGCCAGCCACCGCCCATGTCCAGGTGCCTGTCTCCACTACAGCCTCCTTGCCAACCTCCTCCAGGCAGGCTCCCAGGCAGTGGCCAGAGGGATCTCACCAACCCCTAGCCTCACCAGTCCCTCCCCTGGCTGAGACAAAGTCCATCACACTAGGACAGACGTCCTCTGGGCCAGGGATCTCACCTCCAGTGACCCCAGGCTCTCTCAGTCTCCCCAGGGACCTCGATTTGCCCTTCAGCTGCACACTGGCTCCAGGGCACCAGTCCTGGGCTCATCCTCACCCCCATCTGGTCCAACTTGGGCCTACCGCTTCAACCTCCTCCAAATCACTCTCAAGTCACTCCATGTCCCCATGCCTCTCTCCAGGCAATGACTGTAGCCTGTGCGTCCCTTTGCAGCAGCCAGATGACTCCTTTAAACCTAAGTCAGGTCATGTCACATCCTGCTCTAAACCCTTGGGTGATGCTTCCCCCCCTACCCCAGGTGAAATCCTTCCCCCACACCTCGGGCTCCCACCTTCCTCTGAAGTTCTTTTCCTACCATTCTCCTCTCGCACCCTCCCAAGACCACTCCTGCTGCAAAGCCTCTACACTTCACTGTTCCTTCTGGGTTGCCTCAGTTTCCCTGGATTCTTCCCACAGTCGGTTCTTCAACATCCAAACCTCAGTGCAAAAGATACCTCCTCAGAGAAGCCCTCCAGACCTGACTCCAAAATCTAAAGTGTTCTCCAACACCCCAGTTAATTTCCTGGGTAACATCATTGTACCCCTTCTTTCCTAGGTGCTGGTTCAATTGCTGGGTGTACGTCTGTCTCCCAGACCCAGAGAGAGGGTCAGGAAAGACTTTGAGGGTGGTGAACAGCAAGTTTGACAGTAGGAGGCACGGGCAGCACAAGAGTCAGGGAAAAGCATTCCCTCCGGAGCACTGTTGCGTCTTGGCTGGCACACACCTCTCTACAGCGAGCTCACTCCTTGACAAGGGGCTGCCGAGGCCTCTCCTGTGAGCTGAACCTGCCTTCTAGCGGGCATCCCTGCAAAGTCATCCTCCCTGCCTCCTGGGCCATAGGGGACAGCTGAAGAAAGGAGAGCCGGTCATGCTTGGAGATGAGTCAGGCTGCTGAGGGCCCCCCTTGCCAGGCACAGGGCCTCGCCTCCCCCAGAGTCATGTGAGGAAAATGGCCAAAGCCAGCTCATGGACACGTGATGGGCTGGGCAGTCCCTCGGCTTCCTGAAGAGCCTCCTGAGAGCCATGGGTGAGGCAGGGCAGTGGGGATCCCTGCTCCTTCCCCCTCCACTGCCCTGCAGCCTGGAAGCGATCTGCTGGGGATTAGGCTATAATCTCCTGCAAGCTGTCCCCACACATTCTCAGGAGCGGGGGTAGGGAGTGGAATCTGTGGGGCAGGGTCTGGTCCAGCAGACCCCAGCCTCCCGAGATGCAGGGATCGGGCCCAGGAGGTCTGCAGTCTCCCTGTTCTCTCCAGACTGTCCCTCTTTTCACCCTCCTGGGTCTGTGTAACCTCAAGAATGCCTTGGAGCCTCATTAGGAAGGCGGGGAACTAGCTGAGCATGGTGGTGTCTGCTGGTAGTGCCAACTACTCAGGAGGCTGAAGCAGGAGGATCGCTTGAGCTCTGGAGTTCGAGGCCAGCTTGGTCAACATAGCAAGACCCCATCTCGCTGGGCATGGTGGCTCACACCTGTAATCCCAGCACTTTGGGAGGCAGAGGTGAGAGGACTGCATGAGCTCGTGGGTTCAATATCAGCCTGGGCAACATGGCGAGACCTTGTCTCTACAACAAATCAAAAACTAGCTGGGCTGATGGCGCATGCCTGTAGTTCCAGTTACTTGATGCTGAGGCAGAAGGATTGCCTGAGTCCAGCAGGTAGAGGCTGCGGTGGCTGTGAGCGTGCCACTGCATTCCAGCCTGAGAAGCAGAGTGAGATTCTAACTCAAAAAAAAAAAAGGCCCTATCTCAAAAACTCTAACAGCAACAACAACAATAACAAAATACAGAAAAAAGGGGGAATTGAAACCCAGAGAGGGCTTCCTTGATTGGCCCAAGGCTTCACACTCAATGGCAGAAGTCTCTGGACTCCATCCCCTCAACCACCTGAACCCCAGGTCCTGCTACCTCTGCCCTTCCAGAGAAAGGAAGGATATGGGGGAGGGGAGCAATGCCACCACCTTGCAAAGGGCTGGGAACACCACCCAAACACTGCCGCAGTCTTCCCGGCTGGACCTCACTTACATCCCTAAAGGCCCTCTGAGGTAGGCACTGCTGTACCCATTTTGTAGAGGGGGCAGCAGAGGCTCAGTGAGGTCTTTCCACTAGCAAGAAGGGCGGGGCTACACATCCACTTCTGTCTGCTCTTCCTCGACAATGACTGCCTCTGCCCTGCCAACCACCACATAGCTTGACATTGTTCGATTTCTCTCCCTACGGAAATTCTAGGTCTTCAGGGAAATAATCCAGTCTAGGCCCTGCCTCCCCTTCTAGGGGAGAATAAAGCACACAGGGGAAAAGCCCCCTGCTTTGAGATTCCTCACAGCCATCCGCATGGAGGCCAAGGGAAGTGAGAGGAGAGCACAGGCTTGAGGGGAATCCGGCAAGGCTTCACCCAAGGGAGGTGATATTTGCGGGGCCCTGAAAGCTGGGTGGGAGACCTGATGAGGATGGAAGGCAGATCAGTGCAGTCCTCACCTCACTCATACACATGGGGAGCCCTTATGAAACGCCAGGAACTGTCCTCGCACTGGGGATATGACAGAGGCAGTCCCTGCCCTCCAGGCTTATAGCCCAGCAGGGTGGCAGCCTCATCACTGCTCTGCCAGGCCTCTGGGTCTTTGCCCATGCTGTTCCTTCTACCTGGAACTCCTCTGTTCCTTGCCTGGTTGGCTACAGCCCTCTCAACATGAGTGTCACCTCCCTGTCCTTAGGCCTGAGTGAATGTTCTCTCACTTGGGGACTATGCTCGTCTCCATATTTTAACTGGTTTCTCTGTCACACTTCCCTTCACTAGACCGTGAGCCCTTGTTGAGAACAGGCACTGCATTCAGCAGGCGCTAATGTGTAAATTAAATAGAAGACCGGCAGAGTGTCCATGTTCTGTGGCTGCTTGGATTCAGGGGAGGACATGCAAAGCCCTCGTGTCCAGTCAGGCAGAGGAATCCACTGATAACAGTCGACCGTAGGCTCTGGCAACATGAAGGTCAGGAATGATCTGGAGAAGACAGAGTGGGGGAGAGCTCCCATAGGCACATGTGAGACAAATGATGGGCAGTGGCCATCACAGCCTTCTGAGGGACCAGAGGAGGGCGAAGGTGTGTCTTCCCGGGGGGGAGTCACACACATGTACAAACTGATAGAAAGTCCAGAGCAGAGGGTGCGACCAGGACAGAGGAGAGAGAGATGGCAGGAAAGAATTGATGGATCCGTGTCCTTGAGTGGATGAGTGAAACAGTCTCTAGTGGCTGTAGCCAGGCTAGCCTGGGCCATCAGAACAGGGGAGGTGGTCTAGGAGGAGGGGAAGATGTGAGGAGGCCCCAGACTGGATTTACCCAGAGCTGTGCCAGGTGAGTGCAACGGTGCAGGGGAAAGGTAGGGACAGGTGACCAGGGAGTCCAAGTTGGAGAGGGAACAGGGAGGACCAGGGGTGAGGGCCACACATGAGGGAGAGTCAATGGCTCACAGGGATCAGGGAGGTAAGAGGGAGCTGGACACCTGGAAGGACCAGGGGTGCAAGTGGCTAGTTCAACCAGTGATGGGGCTGAGGCTGATGAGGACAAGAATGTGGGAAGGGAGGCCAGGGTGTGAGAAAGACCATGGAAGAGGTCACTGCAGTGACCAGGACCGAAGGCAGGGAAGGCACTGGGGAGGGCAGATGCCAAGTCAGGCAGTGCTGGGGCTCTGCAGAACAGGCAAAGTACTGGGGCTGGCTTGGCCCTCACTGTGCAGGAAGCAGGATCTGAAGGTCATGTTCTGGTGCAATTTATAAAAGGTGCCGGGGACATTCCCAGAGGGCTGAAAACTTGGGGACACATGCCATGTCCTCCTGCCCCTGGACTGTGAGTTACTTGAGGAACACTGGCTTGGGGTTCCTGTGTGATTGCAGCCTGGGTCTGACAGGCCGGGGCCGTCTCAGCCACGTGGTCACCCCTTCCCCTCAGTCCCCTTCCCCTGGCACCTACCTCCCCAGCAGAAGGGAGTAGAACAAAACTCCATCCCCGGAAGGCAAGGCTCCCCGCTGAAACACAGGGGCATGGCTGCCTTGCCAGGCTCCAGCTGACATTCTCTTCTACTCACACGCATGG